TTATACACACACACACACACACACACACACACACACACACATATATTCACACACATTTTCACACACACACACACACACACACACATATTCACACATACACAAACACAAAGACATGCAAAGCAAGCCCACTACAAACCACACACTGTGCTCCAGGAAGTAATTTAACCGGCAGTTACCCCAAGTAAAGGCCGAACCCCGACATAACCTTCACCTTGGCTATGTCGAGACAGTTAGTAGAAAAATCAACATTCCATCGTTACCCTGTGTACAAAATCTTGAATAAACCAACCATCCAGCATTTCCTTTCCCAGAATTCTTACTTTTTCCGAGAAAAACAATACATCACTTAGTGCCCCACGAGTTACATTGAAAGCGCTTAAGTCACAAAATTCTGAATAAAAATCACACCGAAGTCATCTAAAACATACAGTGTCTCCCAAAATAGCACACGTAATCCGTCATAATTTATAATTACGGTCTACCATGCACATTGCGAAATCGGCGGGCCTCAGTAAAATTTTCGTTTTGCTCGAGTTACATTATGTGCACATTTAGATAATATAAAGAATATAATGCATAATGAAAATAATCATGACCTGAAAATCTATTTGCTATGTGCGCGTTCACAATGTACATGCTAGACTGTAAATTACAAAACCATTATTGAAAACCATAGTACCTGTACAAAAATCATTGACTTGGAGAGGTATAACAATATTTTCAATTAAAGAGTCAAAAAATTATCTACAAATGGTGGAAGCAATCTTAAAATGATTATTTATAAATAAGGAATGGAACTCAGTGATACCAACACATTAAAATACAAAAAACAAACAAACACACAAGCAAACAAACAAACAAAACGACTCCGGTTTTCTCAAACCAGGCAAAGTAAAAGTTCATCAAACAAGATAAAAGGAAGAAAGTTAGTCAAAGCAACAATAAAAACATGAAGAACTAGAGGGATGATGAAAGTATTTATAATCACCAGTAACATTTAAAACTGGAAAATTTCGATGAACGAACACATTCTGTGTGTTTAGGAATTGAATTAAGGGAGGAAAGGAAACATGCAACGATGGAGAGAAAAAATACTTACTTGATGGAGCACATTATACAGAATAAGATGATGAGTTGAGGAGAAAAACAGTTATTGAATAAGATACCTTCCAACACTGTTATGTTATCTCAAAGGCGGTAGCTTCGAATCCAACATTCACCCTCTGATAGGGCCCAGCCAAGTGGGTGGGGAGCCTTGAAACCTCCCCTAAACAATCAAAATTCTAGAACTCTGACCCTTCGTGGATTCGAACCTAGGCCATTCGCACCAGAGTCCAGCATGATATCAAATGAGCTAACGACGGGCCCCAAACTAACAAGAAGATAGACCAGAAAAGCCGGGGGCTTGACTTGGGGCGGGGAGGGGAGGGGGACAGTGAGGGGTTGGGTTTTTTTTAAAATGTGGTCATCGTTATCGTAATTCAGAAATTGTGCGTCGACTTTCAAAGCAACAAGAAGAAGGGGACAACACCTTGGTCATACACACCATGGCGAGCAGTGCTACGTACGATTTTGATGAGAAACGAAGTTTCATTGACGCTTAGAAGAGGGAACTCGCTATTCGTGCTATTCGAACAGTCATGCGAATGACTTTTACTCACACTATTATAAGTCATTCAGTAGCATTCGCTCCTCAACACTCACTATTCACACCGCTATTCACTTTTCACATCCCTTTTTGCTAATCACCCGTCTCGTAATCATTAGTGCAAAATATATTATTTTTACAACAACGATTTTAGATACAATAATATACTCTAATTTTAGGACAAGTTGAGAAAAATAACACTTAAAATCTATTGTCCGTAAAAATTCCACAGCATTCGAATGGCTCAGACACCCTCCGAACAGTTGTGAATAGTAGAAAAATTGGGAATGTTGAATAGTAAAGTTGAAAGGGAACAGCCTGTTATGGCGAGCTCTCCCAAAGTCATCTGGAGACGACCCCACGTAAATGCCGTCGGTTTATTTGCCAGCAACCCTGTATATCCGTGAGGTGATGGTAGTGAGTCAAGCCGGCCGTATAGGTGGGACATGTTGATGAATAGCCGTCAGACATGCACCAACCAGACGAGCGGTTTATTTGTCCACACGCAAGAGGGAGGGAGGGGTCAAAGTGCAACAAGATGGCGGAATAAACCTTACGATGACGGGGTGGTGGTAGATTAATCTCCTGTGTAAAGGCACGATATAGAGTTGAGTTATGCACGTGAGTTGACAGTTCGAGGAAAGGGGTGGGGATGTTCATTATCTGTTTTTGAGTTCCTGAACTGAGATTCCCGCCTTCTGCAAGGCTCGCCTGGCCGCGTCCACTATAGGTCCGCTCGTGTACTTGACCGCGTCAAGCTCGAGGTCTGGGAACACGTCCCAGTACACACTTAGTGTGTCACTCTGCCAGTCGAACTGAACACCTGGGGAAGGGGGCGGAATGGTAGATGGGGGAGGGGG